CTCCTCTCTCCAGATTAGCATTCAACAATTTCCACAAAACAGGGCTGGAGTTTAAAAAAAAAAATGTCCACAAACTTGACACTAACACCATCTCTTGGCCTTCCCTTTATTATTTTTTATTTATTTGGTACCGGGGAGTGAACTCAGGTCGTTGTGCTTGAGAAGCAGGCAGCGGCAATCCTGAGCTAAATCCACCGCCAGGCATTCCCTTTATTATACACAGGAAAATTCTTTCATATCTTGAATTGCTTTCTCTTTTTTTGGTACTGGGGATTGAACTCGGGACCTTGCATTTGTGAGGCAGGCGGCAGAACCACTGAACTAAATCCCTGGCTTCCCACTCATATCTTTCTTGGGGGGGGGGCTGCCAGGATCGAACTTAGGGCCCTGTGCTTGCAAGGCAGGCTACATCCTTGTTCCCTCTCCTTCATATCTTTAACTATTATTAGTGATCATCCCTCACCATCTCTTTGTACTTACTCTGTCAATATTTAACCAACCTTAAATATCCACTTAGAATCCCAACTACTCCACAGATGAGGGGCAATTTATCCTGACTGCCCTAGTTCCCCTGCTCCAAAGACATTAACTCCATCTTACAAATGTTCTTAACAAATGTTCTTACAGGCTTATGTTCTGCAAAGTATAGTGGCTATTTATATAATCACTCTGAACTCTTTGCTAAAGAAACGACTCCTGAGGGCCAGGGATTTAGCTCAATAGTGCTGCCGCCTGCCTTGCAAGTACAAGTTCCCGAGTTCAATCCTTGTACAAAAAAAAAAAAAAAAAAAACTCCTTATAGGTAAAGACCATTTCTTAAACTACCTTTGTAGTCCTCTGATCAACATATCAACATATCTCCCAACTTTCTTTTTTTATGAGTAACATAACTATTAGTAACAGAAAGTCGCGTAAAAGTTAGTCGCATAAAAGTTTTCCAAAACCTCAGATATCCCAAGACTGCCATGCTAAAAGTTCTAATAAAAGCCTAGAAGAAAGGTCCAACTTGGAAAAGGGTAGAAAGGAAACGAGAGAGGCTGACAAAACCCAACCATCGCTATACTACGCACTTTGGCGCATTACACACAGTCCCTGGCAGTTAGAGGATAAGATAACTGGACTCCAGAGCCAACTATGACACTTACGTGCTTACTGCCTAGTCACAACCCTCTGAGCTTTTTTTTAAAAACTATGTTTAATGAGGGACTTCTACTAGAAAATCTTCAAGTCCCGTCCTTAGGCCAAAGAGATTTAACCTGTCCAGTTACCCAGTTCCCTGACAGTCTTCGCAGCTTCGCCCCAGGGCTCTCACTTCCTCCTTTCCGAGTCCAACAGCCCTGGTCTTGTCTGCTCTGCGCTACTTTAGCACCTGCGATCCATGGAATCACAGCGAAGTCACAAAGTGTCTGTCCCTATCACTGTAGTACGGATCTGGAAAAGGCTTCAGAAAAGCGGCACATTCTACTCGGGGAGAAGCTGGGTTTCCTCTTGATGCTGCAGCTCCATCGCAGCAAGCGCCCAATGATCCAACGCAGAACCGTGTCCCTAAGGTTACAGCCCGAAGCCCCTCCCTCCTGCGTTCCCTCCTTTCCAGTACCTAAGGATTGTCTAAGACGCAACCATAGCCCTCCTTACCCAGCAACTCGAGGTTCATCCCTGCGGACTTCGGCCGCCTAGACTTAGATCCGGCAACAACTCTTTAGTCCCCGCCGGTTTCTAAGACCCGCGTCTAAGTGTAGGGCGCCGCAAATACCCCGGCGCAAGCTCCGGAGACTTTCAGACTTAGAAGACCCCGCGGCTTCCGCTTTCCTCCCCCGCCTTCCATGTTCGTCTCAAGAGGCTTCCATATATATGCCTAAGCGAAAAGAAGAATAAATTCTCTTGAAGTCAATTAATTATTATCTTTTGAAGGTATAATCATGCCACCATCACGTAGGACTTTAAAACATGCCAGAATTTAAGGGTTATCTTGCCGGGAATATTTACGTAGGTGAGAAAGAAATTTCAGGCATAAAGTTAGCCTACTAACCCCTCCTCTGGTGTGTGTTCCGTGGTGTTGTCCGGGCGGACTACCTCAGAGTTCGCAGAAAAGGTTCCGGGAAGTTCCTACTGACGTAGAAGAGCGGGAAAGGTCGGCCCCCAGGGCCGGTATTGGAGCACAGCTGATGTCAAGGCGCTTTCTTGGCAGCCTGTATGTGGAAGTTTCGTGAAAATTATTTCACATTTGTAAAGCTGTGCCATTGATCGCGCAGAAAGGTACGGTAACATTTATTAAGCCTTTATCTAAAGTTTTACCATGTGCCCAACGGTAATTAGGACGCTACAAAAAATAGTAAGAGTGAGAGCTAAATTGAGTTCCACGGCGAAGCTCAATCGGCGGGCAAAATGGTGATGAGATACACGAAGCAATTAGAGCAGACCAGCGGATGGCAAGTAACGAGGGCGGTGGGAGCAAGTTTTATGTAAACCAAGTCCTGACTGTGGCCAAGGCTCGCTGTAGAAAATGGGACCCCGGTTAGATCCCACTTGTGTATATATTATGCCAGTAATCCCAGCTGTACCCTCACTCACTGCACTCCTTAAGCAATACTGAATCCTCTCTGCCTCCGTTTTCTTATATGTAAAATCGGGATGATAATATACTTATAGGATTATAAGTACTTAAAATCACAAGTATCTAGCAAACAGTAACTATTACTTACAAGTCACTTTCCTTTAAATTACTGTATGTCATTTCCTTCAGGCCATTAGGGTAGATATTAGCCCCATTTGACAAAATAAAGTAAATGAGCTTCAGAAATACTAGGCAGTTTGTGCTTCTCCGCTTATCTAAAACATTGCTAAAGTATCTAAAATGTTCTGCTTCTAGCAATGGGATTATTTCTGGACACTCTTGCAATCATTAATGAAGCAATTAAAGACCACTGTGATGGGACAGAAGGCTGGAATAACAAAACAATTCCTGTTACCCTATAAACCATTACCTTATAGCATGGCATGTTTCAACAGACCCATTATGAACCCCTGGTAAAACAAAAAAAGCAGAATGTTTGTATAAAGTGAGGAGTTATTACCAAGAAAAGCGCTAAGTAAGCCCTCTGTCTTTGCTTGCTCTTAGTCAACTTGAAAGTATTAATTTTGGAGGTCACAGGATGGACAATACATTGTTAACTTCCCACTAGCTTTGCAAGAAGTAACGCCTTTGATGTGGGAATTATGGTAAGTTATTTAGGTTGCTTCTCTGGGACCTGAAAGCCACTTTCCTTAAGAACGCGGACTGATTCTTCACTCAGGCCTTTGGATGTCTAATGGGTGACTAACATGGGGTAAAACCTTGGCATCCTGTCTTTATGTTGTGTCAGTCCCGCTTTGCTGTTGTAACAGGTGAGTCAGATTCTACTCAACTCCCCACGAATGACATGTTGATCATTTAAGAAATGTTTTGTCCAAGACTGTGACACAGGATTAATTTGGCCTATTGCCCATTGGAGTCAGTATGAGGTTTTTTTCTGCCCCACCCAGTCATTTCTCAGCACTAGAAGTCCTTTAGTCCTGTCCTAAGTCCAGGACATTTATGTAAGATGATGATAGCAGCTGCAGGAGTAACTCAGCAATTCCTGAGCAAAGCTGACGCCCTGTCAGCCCTCTGAGTACAGAGCCAGGATTTTCTTCTCAGAATGATCATGCTAGATACAGGAAAATTCAACAGCTTCTAGGATGAGTTGACCATAGCCACTCAGTGGTCCAAATCCATCACAATAAGAAACATCTTTTAAAACCATGCCGTTGGCCAATGAAAATTACTAGACGTTAGCCCACCCCCAGAAAAATCAGTAAAAACCTGCTGCTCTCTTGGGTTCCACAAGCAGCAGCTTGGTTGCCCTTGTCAACGAATTGCTGTCTCCCTTCAGCCAAAACCCCAGTGTGACTGAAGCCCGCCTGCCAATAAAGCTTTGCCTCTGTAGGAATGTGTACACTTGCGGTATTTGGCCAAGTCTTGTTTCTGTCTCTGGGTCAAAACATCCCGTGGGCTGGGGATTTAAGCTCAGTGGCACCATGCCTGCCTCATAAGTGCAAGGTCATGAATTCTATCCCTGGTGCCCCTCCCCCCAAAATTCTCATTGTCCAGTATCAGTAATAACACTCAAACTCTGCCTATTGGAGAAGTGAAAAAATGGCATGATTACATTTATTTCCTAATGAGGATGAAGAGCTGTTCACTTAGGTGGCCTGTAGGTATCCTTTGCTTGTTTTTTGGATGAGGATATTCATCGTGTAGGATTTTTTTTTTTTTTTTTTTTTTTTTTTTTTTTTTTTTTGTACCAGGGATCGAACTCAGGCCCTTGTGCTTGCTAGGCAAGTGCCAGAACCACTGAGCTAAATCCCTGGCCCTTTTATTTATTTATTTATTTATTTTTTAAGAGTCTTGCTATGTAGCCCAGGCTGACCTGAAAATCACTATCCTACCTCAGCCTCCTAAGTGCTGAAATTTCAGGCATGTGCCACCATGCCTGGCTCTTGTTTTGTACAATTTTTGTTTTGTTTTAGTGTGCAGTCCTGGGAATTGAACCAAGGGCCTTTGTCCTGAGCCATATCCCCAGCCTTTTTATTTTAATTTTAATTTTTTTTTTTTTTTTTTGTACCAGGGATCAAACTCAGGACCTATGCTCGCAAGGCAGGCAGCAACACCACTGAGCTAAATCCCTGGCCCCCTTTTAAAATATTTTTGTTTTGAGACAGGGTCTATGTAAGTCACTAAATGGCCCAGGTGGGACTTGAATTTGTGAACTTCCTGCCTCCCAGAGAGCTGGAATTATAGACATGCACCTGCACACCAGTTCTTGTACATTTTCAAAGCAAGGAATAATATGATCAGATTGTTGTTTAAGAAATAAAACTTTTTGTTTGGGGGAGAAAGAGATGACTGGAAAAATTATTTTCTTTTTATTTGAATGAGTACTAACAACTTATAATAAAACTACATTACAAAAAGTGAAGAAATATTTTGAAATTTAGTAAAATAGATACAGTATTTAGATCTCTGAAATTTTAATATGGTGATTTGTAGAGCTTTAGACTTTCTTATAAGTGCTGTATCTGAGTTTTTTTTTTTTTAGACAGGGTCTCACTATGTAGTTGAGATTGACCTGGAACTCACTAAGTAGCCCAAGCTGGTTTCGAACTCATAGCAATCCTCCTGCCTCAGCCTCTCCAGTGCTGGGTTACAGGCGTGCACCACCATGCCTGGCTCTAAGTTACTCTTTTTGGGGTGCGGATACCGGGGATTGAACTCGGGTCCTTGCACTTGCAAGGCAGGTCACCGAACCGCTGAGCTAAATCCCCGGCCCTCTAAGTTATTCTTAATAGTCACAATTGATAATTCTGCTGACCATAAGCAGCTAAACTAAATTTTAAAATATTTATGTGACAGGAATAGCCTTTTTAAAAAATTAAATATTTTATATAAAAGAAAACTTTTTAGCCCAATATAGTGGTACATGTCTATTATCCCAGCATCTGGGAGACTGAGTCAGAAGAATTGCTGGGGAGTTTAGTAAGACCTTGTCTCAAAATTTTTACAATAAATGAATAAATCAAAATGTGAAGATATACCTCAATTAATTGCCTGAGTTTCATTCCTCATACTACAAAATAAATAATATATAAACTTTTTATTCTTTATTTATTGAACCCAGACCCTTTTGCACTGAAAAACACCCTTGGTCCAAGAAATAGAATTCTTAAAGACAGTTTCAGGTGTGAATTGATTTGAGAGGTGGAAAGTCTTCAGGAGTTCACTGCAGCAGGCCTGTGGATAAAGGAGGAAGAACTGAATAAAAGCCACATTTGAGGTGATGAAAGGCAGTACGGTCACGAGAGAGGTAGGAGATAGAATTGATGCATGGGAAAGAGCTTTAGTATGTGGAAGTCAGTAGACCCATGAGTCTGACATACTTCGTATTTCTAGCGTGGTGGCTCCACTTGCCATGGCATAGAATACAGGAAAAGGAAAAGTCCAGTTTCAGACACATTAGGTTGAAGAAGTGCATGAGAGATCCAAGTGACCACACAGGCTTGGAATTCAAAGAAGTCTAGGACACAGATGTACTATGTTTCATCAATTCTTTTCTTTTCTTTTTTTTTTCTGGAATAAAAAAACTTTGCTGTTACACCCTTTGAGTCACAACAGGGACAGTCAGGAGGACTGGGAGACAGGGAAGAGTCGGAGTAGGGTGAGGAACTAGGAGAGGCCCAGCAGCTGGAAGTCTAGACCACTTCACTTTTGCATGGATGGGCTCACCACCAGAGTCACTGAGAAGGCCTGTGTGGATGCGGGCTCCTGTCCCAGCAAAGGAGTCACAGTTGGCAGAGGAGTGAGGCCTCCTTCTACTGACCCATAGTCGGGGGAATGTGGATGCCGGCATTTCGGTTGACTACACCTGTAGAAGTCATGTTGGAGGTTTCATGGCATCCAGTTAGGCACTGGGCATGGCCGAGGCCCTCCTTGAGATCATAGGCATGAATGTGGCACTGGTGCTGCTTGCTTAGCTCAATTCTTATAGGCACATTTTCATGTTTTAAAATCCATACATACATTTCACTCTCATAATCAGCATTAGAATTTTTTTCTTAGTGCAGCATAAGATGTGTGTGTCTTGTTACTTGTTATTTGTTTGGTTTGGTGAAAAACTCTAATCGATGGGCTTTACTTTGCAAGTGTTAATTGGAGCTCATTAATCCTACCAGCTGTGGAAGGAAGGTAACCAGATTTGTATGCTTGAAGAAGAGGACAAGAAA